GACTAACAGTGACTAACAGAACATGCTTCAAGGCCAACAAAGTAACTTGGCCAAGGCCCGACAAGACTCTCTACTAGCTAGCTGTACTAGCTGCTAGTCACTAGTGACAACTAGTGACTAGGACTAGGGCGAGTAGGGCTAAGGCTAGGGCCTACTAGGGCTAGGGTGAGCGGAGAGATACTCAGATACTCGTGTCCAAACAAGTGCAGCGGGCCACATGACATGGCCCGGGGCCCAGCGATAAGACAAAACAAGCCAACAAGCTGACAGCTCCTGAACCAAGCCCTTGAACTTGTGCACGTCATCCCTGGAATAGATGTCTTTGCGGAGGAAAACGATATACAGCCTCACGAGCAGCCGCAATCTGAAATCTCTGGTTGTGTTAGTTAGCAACTTAGACTTAGACTTAGACAGTGATTGAGCTGTCGAGTCCTGTTTGACTCAAAAATGCCAGCAATGCAATGCTCCAAACTAAATCACGTGAAGGCAAAGCGAATGCGAAGACTCGACTCATAACATCAAAGTGGCAAATCGGCAAATTGGCAAATCTGTGTGACTGCTCCATCTTTTGACACTCCTGACTGCTAAAAGGCAGAGTCAGCAGACTACATTGTTCTGTCTACCTACCAAGTGTTCATGTCTCTCATCTGTTTGTTTGAGAGCCACTCATGTCCTAAGGTCCTAGTCCCAGCCGAGCCGTGTCTCTCATGTAGTTTGAGAGCCACTGGACTCTAAGGATTGATTGATGGCAAAGATGGGCGTTGCAAAATGGCAACCATCTACCATTGACTCATCGACAACTATTGTCTGATCAGGTTGGAAAAGAGCTTGCAGGCAGCTTGCCTGCACTAACTAACTGACTGCACTAATTAATTAACATATGCGGGAGCTGCCACTCAGACTCAGGATGCCATGTGACTGATGGCTAGCTGCAGAAGCCAGGAGCAGCCATCCCAAAGAAGTCTAGCTAAACCACATCCAGACCCCAGACTGGTGAAGTCACATTGCACCCCAGGCCCCAAGACAGGTTTGAGAGAGCAGAGGGCTCTCATTGCACCGTTGCTTGTGCTCGCAGTCGCCGCATAGGAAGCAGCTCTGGTCGGTAGTTTGAAGGTTTCTTGCTCTGCTGCTCCAGTGAATTGAGCAGTTCTGACAATGATGGACCTGCTGCCCTTGGAACCTTCTTCTGCTTTCCAAGTTCTGACAATGATGGACCTGCTGCCCTTGGAACCTTCTTAGTTCCAATCTTCTCAATTTGAACAGTCTTCACCACACCACGAAACTGGACCCGTTTTTCCGACGCAAAGATGGCGGCTTTGCGAAGAGCCCTCACCTGAGGGGAAGCTGAAGCCGCAACCGAAGCCTTCAATGCTGCTTGTCTGGCTTTTCTCAAGCAGCTGTTGCATGGACACTTCATAGCTTCTGCCCGCAACTCATGAACCTTTTCTGGAATCAACAGCGGTGAAGGTTCCTTCTTCAAGAGGGAAGGAAGTGGTCCTTGGACTCTGTGCCTTGCAAATTGAAGAACTTCGACTGCCATGGCCTTGGACTTCGATTCTGGACTCTGACTCTGAACAGCCGCCATTGAGCTCAGTGCGTAGTGTGGATCAGGCCCTTCGATACCGAACCATCCAGCAACTAGATTTGAGTTGAGCACAAATGGCTGCAAGTAGGTTCTTCAGGCTTACAACAGCTTGTTGCTTGCAACTTACAGCTTACAGTAATAGGCCATTGGAAGGCTTGTGGCTTGCAGGCTGGAGGCTGGCTTACGACTTACATCACGAGTCTTACAGCTTCAGTTACAGTTACAGTTACCAAGTAGACTCAGACTCAGAATGAGCCTGGGAGTCTGAAAACCAAAATGATAAAATGAAACTGAAACTGAAACACCGAAACTGCCAGCCGGCCTGGGTCTCGAAATCTTGAGCCAGATTGCAGAATCCAGGTCAAACCGCACCATCCAGTAGCCGCCATGCTTCCACTGCTGATCCCGCATTGAATCCATGAACCTTGCGAGCGAAACACACATTCCAAAAAAATCGATTGCATCAAGTGTCAATCAGACATGACAAGTCTGAGATCTAGTCACTAGTCTCTAGTGTCACTAGTCTAGAGTCTAGAGATGTCTAGAGTCAAGTCTAGTCTAGTCTAGTCTAGTTGTCTAGTCGAGTCTAGAGTCTAGAGTCAATCGAGTCCAGTCGAGTCTAGTCTAGTCTAGTCACTAGTCACTAGTCCTAGAGTCCACCGTTTCTGGAGCCCAGTCAGTCAGTCAGTCAGATATAGATTTCAAAACAAATAAAAAAATACAATAAATAAATATATTCCTCTCATTTCCTCTCCCATGTTTAGAGTCTGAGTCTATAAGTGACCCAGTGAAGACGACTTCTGAATACGCAACAAAGAAGCTTATCGAAGGGCGATCTTGGATCTACAGTGCTTGACCTCATCGCAAATCCTTTGACCTGCTCGGTGATTCCTGTGTGTGGTTCGTATGTCGCGTACAACTGAACCACTGTGTCCATAGTTGTTGAGTTCATGGAGTGATTGGCTACGCTTCCATCAGCAAATCTTTTGGTTCTGGCAGTGCTGTATGGATTGCAAGGTGAGCCAGTCACCATCAAAGATATATTACCAATGCTACCAGTGAGAGAGCAATGGCAATGTCCATCATCTTGAGCGTCATGCAAAGTGCACACTGGCTGTGGCTCTGATTGCAGCAGGTCTTCAACTGTTTCCTGGGCTGCAGCAAGTTTGTGTTATAGGGCGGCTTCTGGGCCAGCAGGAGCCAGAACAGTCAGTTAGTTAGTTAGTTAGTTACTTATACTTATACTTAGTTACTTAGACTTAATTTTGAAGACCTAGTTACCTAGTTACTTCTTGCTACACAGTTACACCTACTGCCAGCCCTACCGACCTACCCCCTATCTCTACTCTCCACCCGCTACCCTGGCCGCCCTGGTCAAGAACAAGACAGTGACATGCAATAGTTAATTGCCACAGTGCGCCTTCAATATGATGTCAAACAAGCATGCTTTTCAGAAATCAGACCAAAGTGTCAAACAGGTGGGTGATGGTTTGATGGTTGTTCAGCATGATCACCTCTCGGTAGGTTGCGTTCTTCTCCGCAGCAGCGACACACCGAAACGGTATGCCAAGAGCCTGAGTGAATGAGTCAGTGAGTGAGTGGGTGAGTGAGTGGCTGCCATGAGCGCTATGTACCCAATAGCCACTCACTAGCCTAGCCGCTAGCTAGCAGCTAGCAGAGGCCTAGGCCCTAGGCCAAGGAAAAGTCAAAGTCAGAGTCAAAGTCAAAGTTAAAGTCAAATCAGCCAGCTAACTGGTGAACTAAGTTCAGTTAAGTCAAGTCAAGTACCGTTGGTGTCGAGTCTAGTCAAGTCGCCTAGTCTAGTCACTAGTCTCCTGCATCACCAGTCTTAGTCTTAGTCTTAGTCACAGTCTTAGTCTTAGTTCACTGCAGGACTGGGGAATCAATCATTAATTTTAGTGAAAGTCTACCATTATTACTACTTACTCATCCTCACTCCTCCTCCTCCTCGTTCCCCGGTACCCGTACCCCGTTACCTTGTTTGTTGCTAGCAAGAAGCTTTCAAGACCTCACCCTCTGCGAAGATTCCAGAGCATGCGCTCAAAAGAGTACGGGGTTCCAAGGACTCTGACTCTGTGTCTGGCGCCCTGTGGGCAACATGCTTCTTGATCAGCGGTGCCCACCAACTTGTCGTCCTGGGCTGCGGATAGATTATTGATATAATTACAGTGTTTAAGTTTAATTATGATTCATTATTCATTGATTATTGATTCATGGACGCAACAATAAATTTGTCTGAGTCGAAGTCTAAGTCAAGAGTCTAAGTCTATGTCTATGTCGTTTGTGTCATGTCGAGCCTACCTCTAATGAATAAATCCAACTTAAATGAGTCTAATGAAACAATATTGCATTAAATAAAAAACCCAGTTTAAAAGGGACAAGTCTCCTCACGAAACTGCTTGGTGGGGAACACGAGTCACTGCTGCCATCATCACCATCTGCAGTGGACTCGTTCAACACCAGTGCAGCTGCCATGTCTCTGCTGGCAGCTTCTGTGGTCGGCTGCGACGCAAGCAAAAGGTCTGCCATGGCAGAGATGTCTTCAGTGTCCATTGCCATTGCCGCTGCCGTGGTGACCATGTCACATGTCACATATCCGTGTCCATGGTCCATCTCTTGTCATATCATATCATATCACACATTAATAGATGGTCGATCAACCACTTTTACTTCCAAGGTGACCGTCACCGACCAATGACTCTGACACTGATCCGATAAAATATGTGTGTGCAGAGTTGGCAGCTGCTGTGCTGACTGCTGCTGACCTGTATGATGGCAGGGCTGCAAGTGGCGCAAGCTCAATGGATAGATAGATAGAGACAAAGGGAATGTGACAGAGAGAGTGACAGAGTCGAGTGTTGCGGTGTGTTATGGTTACTTAACAAACTAATACTGTTACTGTTACTAAAACAAAGAGTAGAGTATGAATATCACATATGACATATGCTCATATGATACATATTTCATATGAAGTCAAGAAGCCTGTTCAAGTCCCAAGTTCAAGTCCCATCACTGCCATTTCCCAATTCTTCGCTCCTAATGAGAACCCGTCTTTAGGGCCTAAGCCCAAGCCTAAGCCTTAGGGCCTAAGGCCAAAGGCTTAAGGGCCCTCAGGCCCCCAATACAAGATGCAAACAATGGCAGGCATGTGGCATTGAATAACTGTAGAATACAACACACTCTGTAGATATGCGTTTGTACAAAGCTCATATGTGCATATGCATTCCTACATATGCATTTGTGAAAAATGAACTTGCATTTGACATCAACATAAGTGGGCAACTGCCTGTGGCTAACAAGCAATCATAACCAGAAACTTCGTGCTCACCCCAAAGCCATGCGTAACAGGATGGTCCCTGGAGGTCCCGACGGACGGCCCCGAGACTGCACCGGCCTCTTCTTTTCACGCTTGGCCTGTCGGCCTTCAGCGGCCTGGAGACGACGCACGACGAGAGAACGGGGGCCCTGGCTGTTTCGGCCCGGAACTGGAACTGGGCGACGTCGAAGCATCTCTGAGATTGGTCAAAGAACCCACGCCAGGTACAAGTAGGAACAAGGACGCTACGAACGGGGCTCCTGGCCATACTACTAGGAACAAGGACGCTACGAACAGAGCAAAGGGCATCGCTACGAACGGAACAAGAACGCTACGAACGGGGAAACGTCTGCCTATGCTCATTGATTCGCTACGAACGGTCGGTCAGAGACAGCTGGGCCTCGATGGACTTCTCATCGCCCAATTCCCTTTCCAACTTCAGCCTCATCGACTCATCCATGTTCAATTTGCAACAAAGAACCTCCACACGTTTGCTTGGGTGGAAGAAGACGAAAACCAATGAAAACCAGGCGGAGCGAAAATGTTTATATAGTGCTACCGTACTACCCCTACAGGCCCTACTTCCGAGAAAAAGCTGCAGTGAGGATCATTAGGACACCGGACAAGTGTTCCAGGAGCATTGCTCGCTCTTCGTTGCGGTCTTCAACCTCAGTCAGCAGGTAGCCGAACTTGTTGAAGAACACCAACTCATCAGCACACAGCGGTCTTCCCCAGCTCAAACGGCATCGGTGAACAACTTTTGAGGCTCGGTGAAACCGTGGCGTTCCTGTTGAGACACCTCGCAAGCAGTTCAATGATATGAGTTTGTATTGAGATGTTTAAAAGACCCCCATTGTGAAGAGGACATATCGACACAAAACGAAGACCATTGGAACAACCCGCTCGGCCTCGCTCCGCTCCGCTTCGCGCTCCGCTTCGCGCGGCGGAGCGGCCTTGAAATGCTTCTGGCCTTCTTCCAAGGCTTCTCTGGCTTTCTCCACCGATTGGCACGTCACTGCCTGGAACGAGGTCACAAGCGAGAGTCTTTGGGGCGGGTTCTTCACGTCCCCGAGCTGTGTTGGGAGATCGAGAGACTCGAGTTTGGCCGGCGGGCGAACTGAGAGGAAACACGAGGAAACACATATCGCTCTCGATTGGAAAGCCAGGTTGGGCACTTCATTGCATTGAGAGTCAAATAGTCCACTGCCAATCATTTGTGCATTTGTGCATGAAGGATTTGTGAAGACATTGGTGTGTTCCAGTGGATTGGAGGCCGGTGAGGTACAACTCTTGCAGAAAATACCATGCGGTCCCCTTCTTTCACTCTGTAAACACAAGCAGGTGTTGTGGCCAAAAGTGACATATTGACGATTGAAAATTACATAGTCACTGGGCCAGGACACCAAATGTGAATCCGATCAATCCCCTTTGGCAAACCCATTGCTGTCGAAACCATAAGCATGCAGCATGTCCATCATCTGTTTTGTAGCGCTCGAAGTCAAGAAATTGGAAAGCCTCAAAGTCACTGTAGGCGATATAGACCCGGACATGGTGTGACTTGCTGAGAAGCTGCTGCCAGACCTGCAGGCAGGAGCTTGACAAGACTCCGGCTGGTTCCTCTACTTAACTGCAACTTCACGTAGTTTCTCACCATTTCTCACCTAGGGTGATGTTCGATTTGTTTCAAGAACCCCATCTTGGCCTCCAGCATTTCGTCTTGCACGATTTCAAGAGTGTTTGTTCTCACATGTTGTACGAAGCAGCGTGATTTGCTTGATTTGATTTGCTCGATTTGCTCAAGTGATTGCCTTCACCCTGGCAGGGGCCGCAGGACCCGCCTTTCGGGCATTGTCAAGCTGCTCTTGGCTCACCTGAGAAGCATTGCTCCGACATGCAGAAACAAATGTGTCTGTGCATTTGTAAAAAAGGACCAAAGGACGCTGCGAACGTGTGAAACTGTCAGTTGTCACAGATCACACGATTTTGCACACCAGCGGGAAGCTGCAAGGCCAAGCATGGCCCCTCTACTGGTTCATCCACATCACAAACCTGAATCAACACTTTGAGGCCGTCTTCTTCGGACAAGCTTCGCATCTGGGCAGCAATTTCTTCTGCTTGGCCGTCACCCCAAGTCAAACACAGGCGCTTCTGTGCGCGCTCCTGGAGCTCGTCTTCCTCCGAGTTTGGCATCTCTGAAAGCATCTCAGCCTGCCATGCATCACTGGCTCCACGTAAGAGTCGGCCTAAGAGTCCCACTTTTTTTGGTCTCGCGCAGCAGCATCTGCAACTCTTGGCGCAAGCGTCGGCGAATACTAGACATCTGTTCCTTGGCCTCTGGAGATTGAAAAGCAAAACGTTGCTCCGTTGGTCCGAAGGACAAATGAGTTGCCACGGCATGTATCGTAGCCTCTGAAGTCAGAAGGGTGAAGAACTCTGCATCAAAAGGCAATCCAATCGCTTCAGGGATCTTCTCAGTAGCCTCACTGGCCTTTCCCCGTGTCACAAATAGCACCTCAGAAGAGGCCTGGAGGGCGGTCTCATGAGGCATCGCTCGGATGCGGACCACCGGGCCGTCTCTGCTATGAAGTTCGAGCGTCACTTGTGGAAGACCCTCACCAGCCATCGCGGTACAAATGCCTGCGCGCAGCAGGACATCTGTGACTTTGGGCCACGAACTCAGGGCCGACACTTCGGGCAACGGAACTGCCTGCTGTTCTGCTTCGCAGTCCTGGAGCTGCCAGACCACCTTGATTCCCCCAAAAATTCCAAACCGCAATTGAAAGGACTTGAAATGGTCTAAGCGGATCACCTATCTGATACTGACAAAAATTCGCTCCTCCAAGTGTGTGGCCAGGTCCTGGCGCGTGACCCAGCAGTGCAGAGTGTCGCCCTCAAGTCTTCTCGCTTGGGCCGCGCAGCGAAGCAGGAGCTCGGCCACCTGCGCCAATGCCAAATCGCCCATCGCACAGCCTTGCCTGGGGAGGGTCATCGAAGCGATTTATTTGGTCCACGGCGATGCGCTTTCACGCACGAATCTTCAAGAACCCCACCTGGAGTCTGGATGTTCACGACGTCACTGGATATATAAGCAGAGAAACAGATGGCACAGCTTAAGTTTTAGCTCTAGGGCGCTGTGTCTTTGAGGCTTTAAAATCTTTAAAGACGGGCGACAAATCAGCAAGCCATCGGTGATGTCGGTTACTCTGCCCGAGTGAGACTGCATTATTGACATCCTGTATGTTTGCCCCTGTGGAGACCCACCGAGACAGACCGACCGAGACAGACAGACTGAGACAGACGGACCGAGACAGACGGACCGAGACATTCAGACGGACCAAGACAGACAAACGCACAGTATCCGTGCGGGCGGCTTCGACCGCGAAGCGGTGTAAATAGAGGTCACTCAAGTTGTATACACACACAGACATATATATATATATATACTTGAGAAGGGAGGGGACGAAACCCGCCCTCTGGGTTAGGGCAAGCCTGGCGTTTGTTCGCTGCTTGTTGTTCATGTCCTGTAGATGGACTCAAAGACTTGGCGTGCAAGATGAGTGACTGGGTAACATTGGGCAAAGAGTACTTTCATGGAGTCCAGCAACGAGGCCTCTTGATCGTCAAAAAAGGGCACCCCCTAGCAAGTCAACGCTTGCCCGCTGCAATCTGCTCTCTCTCATGCCCTCAACAGATGGCATCATGCACCCCATATGGAGTGCCCTTTTGAGTCCGGCAACTAGACCTTTCCACGGATAAAAAAGGGCACCCCCAAGCAACTCAGAACCTACATACATACATACATACCTACCTACCTACATACATACAGTCCAATCCAATCCATTCCATTCCATTCCATTAACTTACATTACATTACGTTACATTGCATTACATTACACAACACAACACAACACAACATTACATAACATACATACATTACCTTTACGTTTACGTTTACGCTTACGTTTACGTTACGTTACATTACATTACATTACCAGACAGACAGACAGGCAGGCAGGCAGACCAGACCAGACCAGACCAGACCAGACCAGACCAGACCAGACCAG